GAATGATGTCATCAGCTCACACAGTGGTCCCGCTGGGTTTTTTACACATGAGACGCCGCCAGAGGTGGTTTGTGCGTCTGCGTATGGATCCAGTAAAACAAAGAGACGGATGATCACTGTTTCCTCCCTCCGTGAGGGCAGACCTCCGACACTGGGGAAACTCCCTGGTTCTGTCGGAGGGAGCCCCCGTCAGCAGACCCACGTCACGTGTCAGTCTTCACGGACGCGTCGCTGTCAGGCTGGGGGGGGGACATGCCTATCTCAAGCAGTAGGGGCGCTGTGGCCCCATCACACATCAGGCCACATAAATGTTTTTGAGTGTCGTACGGTACTGAATGTGATTCAGCACTTTGCTCCCGCGCTACAGAATCAACATGTGTTGATTCATACAGACAACAAGGTGACTGCTGCGTACATAAACCGACAGGGGGGTATGCGCTCAGCCCAGATGTTACACATTGCGCGAAAGCTTCTGTGTTGGGCTCACCAAAATCTGCTCTCCATCAGAGCAGTTTACATACCTGATGACTTAGATGTGACAGAAATTTGGCAAAGCAGCTGTGGACCTGTTTGCGACACGAGAGAACGCTCAGTGTCAACTATGGTTTTCCCTGAGACCGCGAGACAAACCACCACTGGGGGTGGATGCATTTGCCCACAGCCCATGGTCCAAAACGCTTCTGCACGCGTTTCTTCCACCTCCTCTGGTTTTACGGTTCCTGAACCAAGTTCAGGAGGAGGGATTGACAGGTCTCCTGGTGGCCCCCGAGCGCGTGAACACACCATGGTTCTCAGCCCTACAACGCCTGTTATCGGGGCGCCCGTGGAAACTGCCATGAAGGGAGGACGCTCTCCTCCAGGCAGGAGGAGCGATCAGGAGTTACCCAGAAATAGGCCAGCACCTGTGGGTCCGGCCACTGAGCGGTTCCGCTTAGAGAGGATGGGTCTCCCACAGGAGGAAGTGCACACAATCCAGGATTCACGTGCTGCATCTACCACAGCGCTGTACACATCAAAGTAGACAGTTTTTTCAGCGCTGGTGTACAGAGAAAGGTGTAGAGGCCACCTCATGTCCATTAGGCGGCGTGCTGTTTTTTCTACACAGCTGATGAACAGGAAGTTGGCTTTTCAGCACGATTAAAACGTACGCTGCAGCCATCTCTTCCTGACACGAAGGGTTCGGAGACAGAACAGCTTTTAATCACCTGCTGATGAAGTGGTTTCTAAAAGGCGTACAGAGACGCAGGCCTGTTTCACGCCCACTTGTGCCACAGTGGGATTTAACGCTGGTCCTGCGGGCCCTGATCAAAGCTCCATTTGAGCCTCTGGATCAGGTTCAAATTAAATTCTTGTCTCTTAAAACAGCCCTGCTGCTGGCTTTAACATCCGCTAAGAGGGTGAGTGTTTCATCTGCCCTGTCTGTCGCTCTGTCATGTCTTAGAATTCAGGCTGACGGGCAGCTCAGCTGATATAAGACCAAACCCAGCCTTTATGCCTAGAACATCACGAGCTCTTTCAATTCAAGAGCGATATCATTGGAGGGGTTTTTCCCTCCCCCCCACAGATCAGAAGAAGAAGCATCTTGCCATCTTCTCTGTCCGGTGCGGGCGTTGACGTGTTACATAGCGCGCACAGCTGTAATGCGCCAAACTCAACATTTGTTTGTGCATTATAGAGATGCACCTGCAGGTCGCCCGTTATCCACCCAGCGCTTGTCACACTGGCTGTGTGAGGCCATTTCTGAAGCCTACAGAGCATCAGATTTAGAGCCTCCTGTCAACCTCAGTGCGCACTCGACCAGGGGTATCGCATCTTCGACTGCCTTGCATAATGATATGACAATGCAGGACTTTTGCACTGCGGCTGTGTGGTCAACACCCTGCTCATTCATTCACTTTTATCTACGTGATGTGACGGCCCGTTCCATGACACATTCTGTCCTTAGTGCTCTAACAGAATGAATATTGTTGTTTTCATGGAACTCTGTTTAAGCTCACATCTGTCTGCATGCTTCACAGTGTGAGATGTGTATCAGTCACAAGTTGTGTCTGTTATTTTGGTTCTATTGTCACTAATCAGTTCATGACTATTGTTACCAATCAGTTCATTTGATTATCAGTCATTTGTTATTATTAATCTGTCTATACTGCTCAGCCATGAACGCATAGTTACACAACATGCGTCTGTGCATGGCTCACATAATTACGCAATGTGTAATTACGCACATAGGGAGCTGAGTGACAAGACTTTTTTTTGGGCAAGCTTCTGCTTCATACGGTGTTCGAATGGACCCAGTGAGGCGAGGACCACATCTGCTTCGCCCTTAACCCACCAAGCGACAGCCTTAAAGGGCGAAGCTTATACGAAATAGAACGTTGGTTACGTACTGTAACGCCAGATTCTATGAGTATAAGCGTAGCCCTTTAAGCATCGGGCCTCACTGGCTCCTAAATGGCTGAAGAAAAAAGCTATTTTGGGAGCCGATTTCTCGCTCTTAACGTAATTTATACGGACCGGGTAGGGCCCACACAGCAGGTGGGCGTGGACTAAATTTTTCAGTGCTAATGCTTCGCATAACGGGATAAACCCACCAAGCGACAGCCTTAAAGGGCTACGCTTATACTCATAGAGTCTGGGGTTACAGTACGTAACCAACGTTTTAAATATTTTTCCACAAAAAAATAGTCAGTCTTTTAAAACTGTCTCAGCCTGAAATAAAAATATCTTATTAAAATGATTTTTTATTTTTTATTTTAACGCTTTAAGTTTTTTGTTTAAATATAACGTTTTTAAAAAAATTACAAAATATTTATTTTATGGTAATTTAAAAATGTGTATATTTTTCCATTAGTATACCCTCTGGGTCAACATCCACATCCTCCTTTCTTCTCCAGAGCTCAGAACTGATGCTTGGTTCTATTGGCCTGGTCAGAGGGGTTCTGGACCCCCTCCTCTCTCTGACCTCCTTGTGGGGCTTGGTCCACTCTTCCTCTTCTAAAACAAATCATGATCATCCTTTTCATCATCAAAGTCCTCACTGGCTGACTCATCCCATTTATCTCCTTCATGATCATCTCTTCTGTCTGAGAGGTTCTGACTCTGCAGTTCTGTCCTCCTCTGGGTCTGCAGCTCCATCCTCCTCATGTTCAAAAACCGTCTCATTGTTTTGACTCAAACACTAAAACTGACTAAACACTAAATACACTAAACTACACCTAACTACAAAACCCAAACTCACAAAATATCACAAATCTCTCAAACCTCATGACTCACTCTTACTCTGACTTTTATTGTGCCCAACTTGTGTTGTAGCTATACATTATTTATCCAGAGAAAAGGCTCACTGAGATGATTTTATTCCAAGATTAACCTTGCCATAAAATTGCTTCAATAATCCGAAAGCACAAGGCTTATCTTTTCTTGGAAAGCTGGATGGAGCTCTGCTGGTGTACCCCGGTCCTCCCCCTGGAGCGACAGGCCGGGCAGGGCGTCATTTCCTCGGCTCCGAGTTCCGCTGGTCACCGTGGAAGATCCTTCGATGTGCCGACTCGGAGGCTCGGGTTCCGGATACCAGCCTTGTGTGCTCAGAGCTCTGCTGGTCACTGCGAAGCTGGAGATGGGGACTCGCAGTTGGCCGTTGCGAGACCCCGGCCGCGCGTAATCATGAAGGCTGAATCCCAATCCCGCCCAGCTGTCAGGTGGACTGGACAGTCTGGGACGGATGGTGGAAGCGATTTTTAAATAAAATAATATTTTGTTTTTATACAAAAAAATGTTTTAAAAAAATTGCTGAAGCGATTTAAAAATTATTATTTTTTTACACGTAAAATGTTTTTTTAAAATTGCTTCCACCGTTCGTCGCAGACCCGTCTCTGTCCGCCTGTCTGCGCCTGTCAGGCCTTCATGATTACGCGCGGCTGGGGTCTTGAAACGGCCTCTGCGAGTCACCAGCTGAGCTCGGAGCTGGGAAGATGAGCCTGCCCATCCTGTCTCCGGAGGAGAGGATCATGTGAGACCAGCA